GGCTCTTGCTCCGCCCCCAGGCTCTCCTTCCCCCCCCCCCTCTTATTCCCCCCGCCATGCCCTTGTCCCGCCTCTAACCCTTGCCTCTTACCCGAGCCCTCCCTCCGCCCTTAAGCGCTTGTCCCTTCCCCAGGTCCTTGTTCCGCCCCAAGGGGGCGGGGGGCGGAGCGGACCGAGACTGGCCGGACACTCAAGCGAGCCTGCTGTCTGCTAGATCCCGGTAACTCTGTCGAGTTGCCGCCGCCGCCGCACCTCGGCAGTCAGCGTAGCTTCGCCGTCGGGGATCCCCAGTGCAGCGTCCGCTTTCAGCATGATGGACTTGGAGTTGCCGCCGCCAGGACTACAGTCCCAGCAGGTGCTGCTCCGGCCCTCGGGCCTCTCGGCTGTGCCTAGGGAGCGGGCAGGAGCTCGAGGGGAGGGATCCTCGGGAGGGAGGGACAGTCTGAACCCGGACTGCGACGGCCGGGCCGGGAAGGCAACGGGGGATGTTGGGACAGCGATAAGTGTAGGGACCTAGCCTGAGGTCCCCAAGGGCGCCGTGGGGCCAGGGACGACAACCACCTCGCTGGGTCGGATGCTCAGAGGCGGCGGGAGGGGGTGGACCCTGGCTGTCTTAGCCGGCGCCGCCCGGCCCTTTCCGGGCCTGCGTGGTTTCCCCGAGTCGGTGCGGGTAAAAATGTGCCTAGTCACGGGGCCGCGCTCGGGGGAGCTGAGGTCTCCTCGGCGACCGCACCGGAGCCCATCCCCGTCCGCGACCTCCAGCGCGGTGGCCTAGCCCATTTTGCCGTCTGTGGCTCTCTCGGCCCGAGAGCTGGTCGTCTGTAGGATCTCGCCAGTCCGGCTTGATCTAGAATAGCCCAGTCCTCCGGGGGCGGAAGAGAGAAAGTCACCGGGTGGCCCTCGTGCTCTGGAGCCCCGACGGGCGGCCGGCGGGCAGGGCTCCGCGCGCTTTCCTCGACCCGGGAATCCGGAGTTGGTCTTACGTCAGGCGAGGACGTGTGGACCTGGGCGGGCTCAGAGGTCCGGAGTCCGCCGCACGGGGGCTGCCTGTTCTGAGAGCCGTGACTCGCGGGGCCCCACGCTGCGTGCATGCGTGGCGGTGGCCTCCGGGTGGGTGACAACGGCCGGTTGGCAGTCATAGAGGCCCTCGATTGGCCCTTTCCTGCTTTATAGCGTGCAAACCTCGCCGCTCTGGGGCCAAGGGACAAGTTGGAGCTGTTGATCTGTTGCGCAATTGTTATTTTCCCCTGGGCGGCTTTGTCTTTGGATAGAGCTTACAGAATTGCAATCCCAAAATGTGTAAGGCAGGATATACTGTTCCTTGCCGTCAAGGGGAAGAGTTGTAGGTTAGAATTCGTTGCTTTTTATACTGTTGACGAAGTTTTGCTTAAGCTATTACCTCTCTCTTGTGTCTTAGTATGTTTTCCCTTGATGTTTGAGATTTTTGCCTCCTTAATTTCTTAGCATGTTGCGTACTTTTATGAAGACAGAGGAGATGGGACGCTTGCGTTTCATAACACTTTGTTGATAAGTTTTGAAGATTGTTATGTAAGTGAAAACTAGTTTCTGGTCATACTTCAGGCACTTTTAAAGGAGTAAAACCTCACGTTGCCAAAAATTGTGTCGTAATTGGATTTTTAGAAAAAGAAAACATTTAGCTCAAGGGAATGTGTAACTTGGCAAACAGTAAGTTAGCTTAAATGTAAAATCTTAGGCCGACCCTGAAGGCCCTGGTGTAAGGGTTTGGTTACTGACAGTGTTTTAATTCTACTCCCTCCCTTGAACTTTCCTCCAGAAATGATCGGGGTTCTTGCCTGGTTTTCATTAGGATGAACGCGTAAACTGTACTTTCTGATCTTCTGTTCTTCATTAGTAATCAGCAGGAATGCTTGTCTGGCCCCAGGATACACGGCACAAACCATCTTCGATTTTAAAGTTTTCTTCTCTTTTCTGTGTAGCGTGTAGCATCACATTTCATGTACAAAAGTGGCAGACACAGCGCTTTCTCTTCCATGTGAGTTTTCATTTGCCAACCACAACCTTTCTTGTTATTTCCAGACCTCGATTTAAATATCTGAAGACGTTGAAAAAAAGAATTATAAGTTATAATTATAAGTTATCTGTTATCCAATCATTGTTTGGTAGTCCAGAGGGATTTGAATTGCCTTGCAGAACTGAGCAAGTGCTTGTGTAGTCATAGAGGATATGGTTTTTAACTGTGCTCAGTGAGTCCTCATCTCAGCGGGAAAACCATCCATTACTCTTCCAGCGGTGTCTGGGAAAGATAAAATACTTTTGAAGACAAGCGATGAAGTCGATACTGAATGAGACAGATGAGATTATTTTTAAAAGTTGAACAGAAAGGGAAAGTGGACAGGCCTGTCCTCCAGAATGAATGTTAAGCAAGAGTAGCTTGACTTTTTAGATATGTGGAACATCTCTGAGACACTACAGAAGCCGAATGTAGGTTGATAAACGCAAGACTACATCAGTCTTTCTGCCGTAAAGGTAACTGGGGCCATTTTGAAATTCCATCTGTATTAACTTGGGTCCTTAAAAATAACCCTGAGGGAACAGCCCTCGTTTTTAGGATTATTGGGGGAGTTGAAAGCTAGATATTTGCTTTTTCCTAATATTTATTTTATTTAGGATGAGTTAATGCTCAGCAAAGCTACAGGAGAAAGTGCCCGAGCAGCTGTGCTTATATCTGGATATTTCCTTCTTCGTGATTGAGTGTATCTAAAAGGAGGTTTTCATAAATCCATCCTTAATTTTTTCCCTGAACTAGGGTTAGCTCGAGGATGCAGGGAGAATTTGGAACTTAGGTGCAGATAGCAGGTGAGTGGACACTGCTCTGCAGGCCAAGAAGTATGGGAATTCTTGGATGTCTAATTTCTCAGTCACCCCTTTTTATCTTTAGTTTTCAGGTTAGGAGAGAGGCATAGAGAGGCCAGGACGCCTCCTCCAACTGTTTCGGGTTGAAGATACAATCCAAACTTAGCCTGACTCCTACCTAGGTCTCTGAATTTCCACTTCCAAACTGGACCAAATGGAACTTGAAGCAGGGTCATAAAGCTTCCCTCCCTTTTAAGTGGGTAGATTTCAAAACAAACAAACAAACAACCCCAGGGAGGAGAGGCTGGGGTAATAAAGGCTAATGTCTGCACCTTCCCCTCCTACCAAGGAGGCCAATAACCACCGTGGGAGAGGGAGGAAGGGCATCCTTGTGATGACACCAAGTGAGGAGTCCGGAAATGGTACCATGCCTGTGGTCCTGCCCAGGGAGGCACCGAAGCAGGCAATGGGTAGCTTTCATTTGGAGAGGCAGGATGCTTTTTTTCTGTAGTTACCATTTTTAAAGCAGTGTCTGAGAGTCTGCTTCCCATTTTCCAATGGCCATTTTCCCTTTTTCTTAATTAAATCTTTTAGCTGCCTGTATCTTTGCCTCTGCCTTGTTTTTGATAACGTTTTCCTGTGTTTATTTTGGGGTGGTGGCCAAAGTGACATTTACTACGTAGGGTGTGTTGTACAGTGTGACCAACAGGGTTAAAGTAGCTTGATGGAAACTGGATTTGGGATTGGGGGCAAGGAGTTGAAAACAGCAGAAACCTTGTTAGGTCAAACTGAACACGAATCCCCTGTCTTGGCAACTTGGCATTAAGAGCTCAAGTCTGTCCGGTGTACCTGTAGCTTTGAGACTAGTACGTTTGGAGGTTAGCTACTTTAGTTCCTTGGCTTTATTGTTAAATCCTGTTAGGAGTTATTGTCTGATTTGTTTGTATTGAATATGCTTCAGGACCTTCAGGGTTTTGTGGTTTACCTGAATTTTGTGTATGTGAGTCTAGATACTTGAACTCCTGGGTCACCCACTTCAGCATGTGCTGAACCCTGGGGTGGGGGTAGTTTCTAGAGGTAGTTCGTGGTTACCCTGCTTCGCTCCATCTGTGACTGTAGAAGGGACCGTTTTACTGTGACGTGCTGTAGAGTTTCTATTCTGACAGTGTGATCTCCGGAAGGTACTGAAATTTTCGTTGCTGTGTCACCAACATTTAGCAGAAAGGGCTTTACCGTTCCAAGCCAAGACTTGAGCAGTTGGCAATAGTATATGTTAGAGACAGGAAAGCAAAGATATGTCTTTAAGTTTGTGGAAAATACAATTGCATTCTTATGAGAGTTTGTCCCTCAGAAAAACAAAATCCTAAATTGGGCCTCTCTGTATAGCCTTGCTATAATAATATTAAGAATTTTGAGGGGCTGGAGAGATGATGGCTCAGCTGTTTGGCTGCTCTTCCAGAGATCCTGGGTTCAATTCCCAGCACCCGCATGGCAGTTCACAACTGTGTGTTACTTCAGTTCTAGGGGAGCTAATGCCTTCACACCAATACACTAAAATAAAGTTAAATAAATTATATGTAAAATTAATTTTGATAAATGCGTGGGCAGGAAGCAGTACATTGTTAATCTGTCATTTTTCTAGCATGTGAACAGTGACGTCACAAAACCTTGCGTCAGAATTCTCTGCCCTGAGAGTGGGTAGTTGGGGTGTTGGGGATCAGTCCCAGGTGCTAGCACATGCTAGGCACAAACTCCGTCCCTGAGCTCACCTCCCCAGCCGTGAAAGTCCTTCCCTGCTAGAGTGTGAGCATCTTTACCCAGACCGCTGTAGTGTGGAGACAGAGCCAGGGCCAGTGCGGGTCTCAGCACCTGCCCTACTTCCCCAGGCCTCTCTGATGACCAGCTGACTTTCACATCTCACACCCCAGGGACAGCTGTCTTCTGAAGGATCAGTTTGAGTGAAACAGAATCCGCCCACCACACAGCTCACCCATTTAAAGCCCATTCAGTAGCCCAGGTGCTCACAGTTATGTAATCATCTATAGTTAATTTTGTCGCTCCTAGAAGGAGTCCCAGGCCCACTAGTAGCCACTTCCTATTTATTTTCCTCCAGTTCCCCAAACCCCTGATAACCACTCAGTTATTTGTTTTTTTTTCCTTCCAGATTTGTCCATGCTAGACATTTCAAAGAAATGAAACATTCTGTGACTAGCTTGACATGATGTGTTGAAGCTTCGCCTTGTTAGACCATGTATCCTGTGTCTTCATCCCTTTTCATTGCCGAATACTATTCCATTGTGTGGGCATAGCACATTTCAAATTGTGGAACATTTGAGCTATTTCTACTTCCTGTACTTCCGAATGTTGTTGTTTGTTAGACTCACCTCCAGGATTTCAAGTCCTGATGTTTTCTTTATTCAGTCAAAGTCTCTAGGGATGGCTTCAGGCGTTCTCGCTACCTGTAAAGGCATCCCACTGGGTTCCAGTTGCAGCGAAGATTGAGAGCCTAGTACCTTAGGGACCTAGCTCAGTGCCTGGTGCACGTTGGATGTACCTTGTGTGCGGTGATTTAGAAGCTGATGAGAGCGCTGCCTTCGTTGCTGTTCTTGTGTTTGACCACAGCCGTGTTTCAAGTTACCTGGAAAATGTTTGAAATGCAATAACTATGGCTTGAGTTCTTTAATACCCCACAAAGATTTACACGATGCCCTGTTGTCGACAGGCTTTCCCGAAAGAACCAGCAGGACTTTTCCATGAGGTTTTCAGGAGTGTGGATAACCTGTAGTAAGATTGTGGAGAAATAGCTTGTTTAAATGGCTGTGAGGGGGCTAGAGAGATGGCTCGGAAACTAAGAGTGTTTGCTGCTCTCTAAGAGGATCCAACTTCCGTTTCCAACACCCATGTCAGGTGGCTCACAACTGCCTATAGCTCCAGCTCCAGCTGAGGACCTAAGGCTCTGACCTCCCCTGGCACCTGCATATATTAGCACATATCACACAGGCGCACACACCGCACACACACCAACAGACACATAATTTTTAAAAGGCAGTGAGAGCCAGGAGCATGGTGGCCATCCCTGCAATTCCACCTCCTAGGGAGGATTGCTGGCGTTGGAGGACAGCTCGGCCTGCAGTGCAGAACCCTGTCTCCAAACACAGGAGGAGAATGGAATGCTCACACTGGGGCGGGTGTTGAGTGTGGATTCTTGCACACTTCATTCCTAGCCTTTGTTTTCTTTCTCCAAAGAAAACTCTGGAATCCCCAGGCCAACTTTTAACAGCTCTCGTTTTTCGACTGTGCCTGACTGTTCTAGGCCACTGTATAATCCTGACCACAGTGATCAGTGCTTATATTGCTGAGCTATTTCCTGATTTGCACATTTGGAACTAGAGGCCGCCTTTGCTTATGGGTGCATGAGGGGTGGGTGGGGGGCTACTGGGTGTGCCCTTTGTAGCTGGCCTGTACGCTCTGTGCACACCTCTGCCCTCACTGCTTCTGCTCAGTGCTGCCAGGCAGAGCTGGTTGGGCTCCGCCCCAGCCATTCCCACAGCTGCTTGCTGGGGTATATTTAGTCACCTGTCAGGAAGCTGGTAAAACTCTGACCCCAATTGCTTTAAGATTTGAAAAATGGTATCTTATTTTTATATTTGTTCTTAAAAGACTTGAAAACCCTTAAAACCCTCCTTGGGGAGGGTTAGTACCTCCCATATTTGAGAGGCAGGACATGAATGTTGGGCTGTATTGATTGTATGTTTAAACGACTGGCCCGTTGAAAAGGCAAGTTGGAATTTCCTTTGTCAGATCTAATGCTCTTATGAATTCTGGGGATCTGGAGTCTCACCTCTGCCTAGCCCAGGACGTTAGGTTGGAGGGGAAGTGGTTGCGGTTGGTGCCTGCCGCGGCAGAGCCTTGCAGAGTTGTGTCCTCCGGGTGGGATTACTCTGCGGCTGTGGTTCTTACGGGTGACCAGGAATTGGGACTCTGTTGGTTCGTTCTGCCATACTGGAGCCCCGAATTGGTTGATTTTCTTGAGACAGGATCTCCTACTGTAGCCCACCTTCAGCTCCCTGCGGTCCTCCTACTTAAGCTTCACTGGTGTGAGCTCACCTGGCCTAACAAGCCAGGGAATCTTGTTTCTGCGAGTAGAGAATGTTGGAGAATCATGAGATTTTGTTGTTAAACCAACAAAGTCTTGGTAATGAAAAGCACCCAAAATAAACGCACCATTTTTTTATCTGCAGTAGGAAAAACTGCCAAGTTTTGAAGTTTGTGTTTTTGCTGCTGGCAATTCTCAATGAAACAGTGAGATATGCATTAAGAGACACCCTTAAAAGTCTGCTTTACTTTGTGCTGCTGGAGGGGGGCGTAGGGAGGACGGACTCACCCCCACTCCTGTGTTCCTAGTGGTTCCCAGGCTAAGAGTAGGTCTCTGTGGACTGTCTCATGTGTCACTAGAAAATCTCTACCTGGCTTGAAGCAGCTGGTTCTGACCAATCCACGGGCCACTCCTGGAATGTGGGGGGAGGGGACCGGGTACCTTGACACTCTCCTCATTGACCTTGACAAGTACAGTCCTCTGTCTCCGGAGACGTGGGTCAAAATGGCTCCTCCAGGTAGAACACTGGCTTTCTCAGTCAGCCGGAAGTCCCGAGCTCCAGTCCGGTCTGCGTCTTCTGTGCTTCAGTTGGTCAAAGTTCACATGATAAGGCTGTGGCTGTAAGGTGTCGGCTGTGCCCTGCAAAAGACGATAGTGGAGAGAAGAGACACTCTGGAGTTCTGTTAGCAGTTCACCCTCTCCCTGTGAAGATAGCCCGTCGCTGGTGTCTCAGGGCATGCATGTACTTCTAGAACCTGTGGGTACTGAACCCCTCGGATGCTCAGGTCCTCCTTGTGAAGTTAAATTGTTAGGGGTAATAGAGCACACAGAATGCAGGCAGGTGAACGTTCTTTCAGTTGCTTGACTGCAGTCAGAGGGCCAGCTGCGCTGCTCACTGGCAGTTTCCCGGACTGGGGAGAGCAAAGTCATATTTGTTGAAATCCTGCTACTACCAGACCCTAGTTCTGGTCCTTGCTCTTAACAAAAGTCTACATAGAAGCTGGTGAGATGGCTCAGTGGGAAAGTATGGGCTTGCTGTGTGAGCCTGACGTCATAAGTTCAGTCGACCAGAACCCATGTAAAGGTGGAGAACCTTCTCAAAGCTGTTCTTGACCTGTACAAGCGCCATACACACACGCACATGTCCGCAGACACATATCATATGACAGTAATAGTAAGTCTATGTAGATATCTGTTATAGTTGACAGAAGCTATTCGGAGTGGTTAAGCTACTTCCCAGGATCACACTGCGTGATCAGAACAGGGAATCCGCGTGTCCCCAATCCATGCTTTCTGGCTCCCAGAAGTTTACTGCTTCACTCCTTTATTCTGTCCGTCTCTAAAGGTGAAAGTGTTTTCTCTTGTTAGCTCCAGAGAACGAAGGTCTCTTTACAAAATGCTAGAGAGTTCTGCCAGTGGGGCAGTGTGCCCCTGTGCCCGGCTTCTCCATGGAGAACAGACCATGGTACAGCAGCTACCCGAAGGCCCCGTCCTCTGCCTCCTGTTCTTAGACCCCCGGCTGCACAACATTGGTGGACACTTGCTGTCTTGTTTGTAGGGAAACCCATCACCTCAGAGAGCGAGCTGCTTGTGCCTTTATTCTCAAGGAATGGAGGCAAAAGGGAGAGACCGAAGATGGCTGTAGAGACCAGGCACGTTTTCCTGATTGAAGAAGAGTGGCTGGCCCGATCCTTTCCCACCCAGGGCCGTGCTGCCTGCAGTGCTGGACACTGGGGGCTGTAGCTGCAAGGAGGCGGCTGGTCCTAAAAGATGAGTTATCGCTGTTCTTGTTGAGTGTGTTAGGAGAGGTAGAAACCATGCCGCGTTAGTTTTCCCTCGTGCTCGTCTCACCGGAAGAAGTCTGAATCCTGAGGTGAGAGCGAAGAAAGCTGTAGATGCGACACCACATTCCCAGTGATGCCAGGAGACTAGCCTAGCGGTCTGTGGGTGCGCGCGCACCCTCTCTGACCCCTCGAGGGAAAGAGCTAGTGTTCTTGAAGAAAATACACCTAATAAGTATTTCTCTGCTTCCTGGATTGCAAATGTCTGGCTTTTGCTTTCTGGAGACTCGTGGTGGCAGACTTAGGCTCTTCTAGTCCGGGATGGTCTTAAGCTCGCTGCGTCATCAAGCCTCTACCTCCTGAACGCCGAGATTCCGAGGCTGCAGCTTGTGCCCAGCTTCCAGACCACAGAGTTTTTTTTAGTGGACGTTTCAGGACGCTGTGACATTTGTCCTTCTTTAGAAACTCGTATTAAGGCTGGAAATCTAGTCTGGGAATAGCAGAGCACAGGCCTAGCATGCACAAGGCCTAAAGCTCTCTCTCTAGAAGCCTACCCTGCTCCTCCCAAAGATAATTGCTTTATCTTGAAAGGTGTGTGTTGAAAGGGTGTATGGCAATACTCTTCAGATACAATACTTCTTCTTGTACTGAAAATGTTCAAGTATTGCTGTAGGATTGGAGCTAATTTTTCTGTAACTGGCATTTGGTCACAAATGATATGAAAAATGTGTTTGGTCATTTGAACTGTGACCTCAGACCTCATGGTTTACAATGAAAAAAAAATTTTTTTTCCTGAGACTAAATAATGTATAGTTACTCATTGAACAAATATTCATGAGGTCTGCATCCAGACTTGCACAGAGCGAAGGTTTGCTTTAATCTCTCAAGATAGTGCAGCAGTTGCCCTTCAGGGATGAGAGTTTCTGAATTCGCTCTTTCTAGTTACTCTGACCTTTGGCTCCTGTTCTGCTGAATTACAGGGTGTGTTTTATACGGTGATTAGTGTGATTTCATTAGTGGTGTCTGTTCTGCTGAGGTCTGCAGTCTTGTGCTTGGCAGTAGATGCTTAGTAAACACAAGGAAGAAGTGTCTCTAACTGCTGTCTAGGAGCTTGGTGCTCGGGACAAGTGACGAGCCCATGCCACCACCACAGAAGAAAACTTCTGCCTGGGGTGCTTAGGGTGTCTAGAAGATGGTAGCATTTTCTCAGGTGTTTGGGTTTTCTAGCCTGTAGATTTCATGGTTTTGGTTTAGAGGCCCCTCAGTAAAGCTGGGGAACAGCCAGCGTGAGCTGGCCTCCGGTGGCTCCTGTGCCGTGCAGAGAAGGTTAACGTGGGGGTGGAGTGGGGGTGGGGCTCCAGTTCTCCAGTGCAGCTATACTGCACCTGAATCACAGAGTCCTGGCAGCCTTGGGAGGTTTTAGAAAGGGCAGAGGGCCTGGGTTGACTGCGGTCAAGGAAGCTTTTGTGGGCGGACTGGAGGCTGGGAGATGGTGAGAGGCCCATGCTGTACAGTGGGTATGAATGTCTTTCTAATGGCTTGGTCCGTTTGCCAGCCCATGTGCTTAGGATCTGTAATTGTAGCTACACTGCACTTTTTCAGTTTGAAAACATTTAAAACCAGAGATGGTGACACATGCTTGCATATCCAACATGTGGAAGACCAAGAATGCAGGGCTAGGCCGAATACAGTAGGCTTGAATCCAGGCTCAGCTACATGAGACCCTGTCTCAACTCCTACCCTTGCTCCTCCCTAAAAAAAGATAATTTTTTTTTTCTTTCCCAAGACAGGGTTTCTCTGTGTAACTCTGACTGTTCTGGGACTCTCTCCATAGACCAGGCTGGCCTCGAACTCAGATCTACCTGCCTCTGCTTCCTTAGTGCTGAGATTAGAGGCGAGACTGACTCATGGTGGGCTTCATTGTGGATCGTGTCTATGACGTTGTAGCAGTGTAGGCGCTGGCACACAGATGATCAACAGGTGGCAGCTGCCGTGGTCGCTGTTGTCATGTGTCTCGGGAGCTTTGGGATGTGTAGCCGTGTGAGGTTTCCATTGGCCACTTGGAAAACAAATCTCTCCTCCAGCAGCAGCTGAAGAGCTCGGGCTTCCTTGCTCTGTTGTATTCTTGACCATAAATGTTCTCTTTTCCTGCCTCCTTCCTTAGCACTCTCTGACCTTTTTATATGGAGCCTGGTTTCCAACCAGTCTCAACTGGGAATGAAAGCTTTGAGCCCAGCAAAGGCCACGTACTGCCCAGGCTCCCTGGGGACCCTCCAACCTGTTGCTGGATCCCTTCTTATTAAATGGGTTAATAAGCCGTCACCTAGGATGCCTCCCAGGCCTGTCTCTTCACTTGCACAGTTCCTTACTCGGGGGTTCTGGCCTAGGAACCGAGTGTCCTGTCTGTCCTGTCCGTGTAGCTGGATAGAAAAGTCTGGAGAGCAGCCACACCTTTGGAGGAAGACTGAATCCCAATGCAAATGGAGCCGACCTACCTCCTTGTCCTCCACTCACCCCCACCCAAAGGTTTTAGTATTGTTTTGTAATATCTCTTCCAAAATAACTTTGGCCTTTAAAGTCAGCAGAGCAGTGGAGAAAAAGAAAATCTCGTGGGATCTTGAGAGAGAGCTGGCCCAACTGCGAGGCGTTTACATTTGCCACTCTGTTGCCACCAACAAGCTATGGCCTCACCTTCTATTTTCCGCTCAGTGGCGAGACCCAGAAGCTTAAAAAGAAGCTGCTTTCTCAGTTCGCTACAGGGATAGATTTATTAATAGGGTTGCTGCCGTGCCCTGGCCTTCTCCCTTACATGTTAAAGATGCATTTACATACTTTTTTCATATAAAGGATCATTCTGTGAGGACAAGCATTATCTTGGCTTTCTGCTGTGTTAGAGCCCACTGTGGGGGTGGGTGGGTGGGTGGGTGGGCACTGTCACCTACATGGCTAATATGGCAAAGCTGCTCAGTTCTTCCAAGCTGTAGTGTGCTGTCCTTTGTCCAAGCAGCCTCTCCAGAGAGGGACGCTGGGGAATTGAAGCCTGTGTTCTAGAGAGGGCGAGAGCTCGCTCCGCAAGATCCCCTGCCTGCTTTGGCGCTCACTGTCGCTGTGTTCGATGTTTGCTGGCAAACGTACTAAAGCTCTCTGTGCTTCCATTTCCTCACTCCAGAATGACGATGACGTACTGCCCACTTGGTGGATTGCTGTGCATCCAGACGAGGCGGTACAAGTTTTGGAACACGTTTTTTGAGCACGTAGAAAGTATGTGACCAGTGGTGGCTGTTATTGTTGTAATGTAATGCCTGCTTTATCCGGACTTAGCCTGTCCGCAGTTGTAACCTTCCACTTTCAAAGATCAGTGTGGCTAGTGTCTCACATAGCAATATAGTGGGTTTAATTAAAAGATAGACATTAATTAAGGAAAGAATGTCAACATTAATTTTAAGAAAGTGAAACTAAGATACTTTAAAACTCCTTTTTTGCCTTTATTTTTCTGTATATGAGTGTTTTACCTGCATGTGTGTCTGCACCACATGCATGCCTCATGGTTTCAGAGTCAAGAAAAGAGCATCAGATTCCCTGAGAATGGAGTTACAGATGCTTGTGAGCCGCCTGTGAGTTCTGGAACAGAACCTGGCTTATCTGGAAGAGCAGCAAGTGCTCCTAACCATTTCCATCCCCTAATAATCCTTTTTAAGAGACCCAAATTGCAATCAGCAACATGAATGCATTTTGAAATGTACACATCTGAAAGTAGTTGAAATATAATTTCCAAGCTCAGGATTAATTTATGTCTTTATTTGGAACAGAGAGTAGGATTCCATCAGGTTAGTCGTTGAGAGCC